ACAATGCATAGCCTAAGTAGCCACAACAATCGTACAATTTTCATTGCCAAATATAAGCTTACATATTCGTCATCATGCTTAAAAATATTGAAATATAAAAGTTCCTTTATAATTATATTTAATTTTAGTTGCATCTTCATAATCACTTATTTCTTGACCAAATTCATGAATGTCATCTCCTTCATTAATTTTTTTATCATACGCATCCTTAAAATCAATATTTTAATTCTTGCTTTAGTAATCAATTGAAAAAAGAGCAGTTAAATGACGTTTTAAGATGCTTTTGCCAAAATTTTAAAACCAATTCTACTAACAATGGATTTTCTTATATAATCTTTGTTAACACTAAACTTAATACAATTAAGTCAATAGTTTGAGTTTGGTGTTATCAACAGAACATTAATATCAGATAATTGCACACTTATGAATTATAATTATTTTAATAACAGAAAATTTAAACATTTGCACCAAATCTAAAACAAATTGGAAATAAGGTGCAATGCTGATGAAATAATATAAGGTATCATCTTAATTTACTGCCATCCCACAAAACCAATCTAAATCTAGACATTATTTGATGAGGACATCAATAGGAGATTCTGGCGCGAGGAGACATCAGAGATCTACGGCTACGCTCGCATCTTTTTATTTCTGGTTGATGTATTTTAATTTTATTATTATTAGTGTCTTTTTTCCATTTTTACCCTCACTTGAGAGACTAGATGCATGTAACCCCAAAGGGTAGTTTGGTCTTTTGTTTTGTTCTTATATGAGGGCCTATTTATAGCCTTCTTTTCCCTCTTATGAAGGATGATGAATGATAATTAAGAAAATTTCTGCACGTGTCTTTGGAGAGCTGTGAAAGTTCTAGGAGAGAACTTTGGTGAAGTCTCTTGGTGAAGGGAAAGTGGATCACCCACCAACTGCAGGAAAAGTCCGAGTTCGTGGTTCTATCAATTTTTTTTAGTTTTCTCCTTCTTCTCTCTTCTTCAAGCCACCGGCCTTCACCACACCCCATTCCAAGCCGCTGATCAATCATCTCTCCACCTCAAACACCAAGTCCACTCCACTTAACCCACACTCCCTCCTTAGCCTAACATCACCCAAACCCCAAACTCTAACCACCGATCTTCCCCTCCCATGGATCTAAAATTGATTGTTTTGGCTTCTTTCCAAAAGTAGAGCATGAAGATTAAGAGGGAACTCCAATTCAAAATTTGATCTCAAATTCAGATTCTGAATTCTTTCCTAAATCGACATAATAAATATTAGGAAAATGTTCAATTCGTGGATCTAATTTTAAATGAAAATTAAGAGGAATAATTTGCCCATTATTTCCTCCTAATTTTAGACGAGACCACCTAAGGAAACCCATCCAATCAATCCCTACCCCAAGCATGCCCCCCTCCCCTCTCTTTTCCCTTGACTCCACTAATTCCTCTTGCATTCAAACCTTCCTATTTTAGCACTCTTAATATGGGTAAAAATTTTGAATTCAAACTTCAAATTAATTTGGGTTTGAATTTGTTTCCTAAATGAGGTTTCCTATTTTAGGAAAGTTTTCCAAATAAGCCCTATTTGAATTTTAAATTAGATTGGATTTAATTCAATCCTTCCTAATTTCAAATTCCAAAACAAGTAACCCTTGATCTTTCTCCACAATCCCTTCCCTTCCTCTTGAGACCGCCGGCCCCCTCTCTCCACCCGCCCGCTCTCTCTCCTATTACCTTAATTTGTTTCCAAAGGTGAACACCTACTTTTGGAAACTCTCAATCCCTATGTCCCTCCCTCCAAAATTAATTTAGGATCCTTCATCATTCGTCCATGTCCAAAATCTGAACCCTAACTTCCCCATACATCCTAGCTTGGCCGGCCTTCCTTTCCTCCCACTTCTCCTTGAAAATTGTTTGGGAATCCACCTCTCTGTACGACAAATTATCAAGGGCAGCAAAGAATCATCTCCTACTGTACCCAAAGCATCATTTACCTCATGCATGGATGACCCTGAGGTCGACCACAGATTCGTTTACAACGCTCAAGGACAAATCGACATCTTGCAATCCCCTTTCTTTGATCCAGACTGGAAATACAAGGATTCAATGGAAAGCTACGTCAATCGCATACTCTATCATCTCGACGAGACGATTGACGAGTAACGACCAATGGAACACTGGCACATCATCGGCCGACCATCAACTTCCCCTCCTCCGGCTACTTCTCGGGAGGACAATACCTTACGCGTTACCTGCCTTGTTGTGGCATCACTAGGGTTTCTTCTACTTTTCTCCGCTAAACCCTTGAACTCAAGGTGAATTCTCTAAGTATGAAACCGTGGATTTTGTTAAAGCACATTTAGTTTTATTTCTATATTTGTTATTGTTTTAAATTGTTTTGCCTCTAAAGCTTGTAACTTTTACCTAACAATTTGATAACTAAGGACTCATAAATCTATAAGTGTGAAACGTTAGACTTTTACATTGGTTAACTTACACAATTGTTTTATTACTTCCGAGCAATTCCTGTTTCCGTTCTACATCATTATTATTTTGGGATCTTCGACTATTTTAAACTGCATTAATAATTTTTTATATTTATTCATAAATTCAATAATCCTGAGTGATCCTCATTTTAAAAGCTTTAAAATCATCAATCAAATGATCATGCTATAACAATAGATGGTATTTTTCAACAATTATGTACTCCATTTCAACCCAAGTTGATATGGGTTTCTTTTTAAGCTTTTCTCTTTCTTCTCCATGTATATCCGAAATATTAGCCTGTATAATTAATTTTAAGAAAACAAGTAATATTTTACAACTAGTAGATATTGCTGACATTCAAAACAATCACCCACTGTCATAACCCCATCAGAAAATATCTTAAAATCAATTCTCCCATTACATATTGATGCTTCAATTTTATTTTAGTAGTTACTTCATCATACAAATCATTAATCTATTGTCTATTATTATCGTCGATCTTACTATCTTATATCATTTTGAGAATTTTTAGCAAGCTAACAAAACCTAAAACCCACCAATGAATATTCAAATTGGCTTTTTCATCTAAAACAACATCATCAAGCCTTTATTCCACAACATGGCATCAACTACATGAATTCTTCTTCTCCATTGTGTCATGTTAAGAGTCAAATACTCATTTAAATCTAAAAAAAAGGGTCATTTCAAATATTTTCTAACCACGTAAAGATCTATCTCTACCTTTCTTAAAATAGGTCAAATCTAATACATCTACTCTCCTAACCGAGTTATCAGAAGGCCAACATTTTATGTGTCGAAACTAAGGCAATTCTCTCTAATCGTATCTATAATTGGAACTACTCCAACATTTCATGTATATACTCATTTCATATTATGTTTCTAAGAGTGAAGCCACTAATCCGGCTTTTTCATCTATAGAATTAAAATCATATTCTTGTTATTAGGTTAACAAAGAGAAGTTTCCAGAAATTTAACTCTTCCTATAACTTGATCTACGGCTTCCTCACTTGATCTTGTAAATACACCAAGTTCATCGTTTTTGAAATTTCCATGTTGCATTCCTTAGTTGACTAGTTAAATGACCCTAACATTGAGTCCTACATCTACTTCACATCTTGACACAGCCTAAAATCTAATATCAAATCTAATACAAGTTGTAGATCTAATTCAATGTGAAAAATCATGCAACAAATATGCGAAATTTGCATGATAACCTATTAAGCCAAAATAACCATTGATTGTCATTGATTAAAATCTAAAAATAACAAAAGTCAAATCAGATTAAAATCTTACAGCTTTTTACTAAAAAGTAGCAACTAGAGTCGAGGATACAAAGAGGCACACGCAATTAAAATTTATGCAATCGTCAGGAATCAAGATAAAGAAAATATGATTATACACCCACTTTTAAACTAATAACTAGAAAGTCAAAAGTAATGAGAGAAGAAAAAGAAACATGAAGACATTAATTCACTAAAAAAAATCTCATGCCACAAGAAAATAACTTGTCCCAAAATTCTTCGAATCTTCAATTAATAAATTGAATCCAGGATGACTGCAAGAATTGCACATCCTATTGCAAATTTTAAACAGCAGCTAATAAGTTTTGAGCATGCCTCTAGCCACATTTATAAGTACCAAAAATAACTAAAAATAGCTTCCAACAACTTAGGACTGCAATCAGATTCTAAAAATCACATAATTATCGAGACTGGCTATTGCCATAGTGCCACCAAAGCCAGATGCTGTTACTGCTGTTGACATAGATCCAATAACTCATGAAACAGAAGCAATAAAGGAGAGTCAGGGATTAGTGGTAAACAAAGGACCGTAGATCAACAAGAGAAGAACCCATGAATATCTATAGTACAAAAAACAGAAGAAGCCCGTGAATCATCAACAATGAAGAACAGTAAGTAGCCATGGAAAGCAACAATGAGTAGGTGAAGATCAAAAGAGATCCCAAAAGAAGAACAAAGTACAACCCAAAAGAATTTCATCTTGATTAAAGTATAGCATTCTAGGAATGCGTATACATGCTCCTAAAATTAATTTTTTTTTAATTAAATTTGTAAAAGTTCAAATTCAAAGTTGATCGTCGCAAGGCAAATAGTTTGCATTTTCAAAGAATGCAGACTATCAGATTCTCATCAAGGTAACTTCAAGTAAAACTCCATTGAACGATAGTCATGAACTATACAAAAAAATACCAAATAAGACTACCAGGCAGACTAAAAGTAATTTAAAACCTAATTTCTCCACGTCACTCAACATTACAGAAACCTAGCCACATTTACAATTTTTGACCATATACAGTAGCTAAACTCTTTACATTTATGATAACAATAACAAAGACCTTACTCAACCCACCGGCATTTATTCTATGGCTTGATTAATTATATATTTTTTACTTCAGGAGTCTATGAAAAGGAATCAACAAAATGAGAGCCTAAAAAACTACATATAACATAATTATACGTGTAAAAAAAGTTGGCCTACCTTATTCTCATCAGCATTCTCACTTGTTTCCATGAGCAAAATTGTACCCATGCAAGACGGGCAAAAGCCTTTTTTCCCTCTAATACAAGTAAATTCTGCTTCATTAACACATACTTTACATAAAGAATACGTACAGGTAAAGCACATGTAGCTTGCAGATTTCTGACATTTACTGCATATATGCCACCCTGGGAGACCAGGTCAAAATATTAAAAAAATGTTAAATAAAGTACTGTTCTGCATAAAAATTGAAAAAAATCCATCAAATAGAACAAAAGTGAAATCTAGGATACAAATGCATCAAAGCACATAGGAAAACAAAGGCAGCATTATAAGAAGAAACATCGACTTACTGTACATATATGCTTGGATAGTCAGCAACACGAGAATATACATTTAATTGAAGAAAAAGTTGTATCATTAGCATGGTTGAAACTGAAGCAAATAAGAAGTTGAAGAAGATCTCACAGATTTTACATTTCATAACCATGTAATGCCTCTGATCTTGCTCAAAACCCTCCCTCCCCGTGCCCCCCTCCAATGATACCCATGTAATAAAAATGAGACACAATTAAAATAATTAATTGACTATTTATGAGGGCTATTTTAGTCCCAATTTATTTAAAGTGCCCAATTTAGTTCATTGACACCCTAAAATGATCCACAATAGCCCCACAACTTGAATTGATATTTAATTTTATAAAACTTTCACACAAAGTTCACAACGATGTGGGTAATAGGAGTATTTTTGCAGAAAATAAAATTTTTTATATATCTTAATTAACGTGAGATGCCCTCATTTTTGGCACATTCGTGAACTTTGCAAGAATTTTTTTTATCAATCTCAGACTATTGGGGATCATATTTGAGGCGCCAGCGGCCAAAATTAGACATTTCTTTGATGAATATGACTCTCAATAGACACTCCAAATGACATCTTCTTTCATAGACGCTCCTCTTCTTTCATTATTTATTAAATAAGTTAATCATTTATTAGTTTTGTACAATGAAAGTTCTCTAAATTAATTGAATATTATTCTATGATGCAGTGATGCTAAATTACTTGAATTAAATACTATTAAATTTTAATTGCGCTATAGTCATAGTTAAGGTAATGGCTTAGCTTTTCAATTTTTCTCAATTTACATATATATTCTCTTTTCACATATCATATCTGGTGTTAAGACCCACTAGCACAATAAATTAAAGAGATGATTTGGAAGAGCAATACTCGTATATAATTTCATTTATTTAAGGGCAAAATTACTTGATATTATGAGAAAAATGCATCAATCAAAGATAACTTGTCAAATATGCTAAAACTCAATTTTCCACTGCCTTTTAGACCATGGAATGTTTTCACCAATAAAAAACGAATTTGAAAAACTACATACTTATGAATAATTTGTGCTAGGTTCTTATTCAAATAAACAAGGACAAGGAAAGCAAAAAAAACTATCTTGAAAAAAATCCTTTTGGAATGCTACGGTGTATGCACTCAAAGTTGGCAAACGTTTGTTGAAGGCACTTCATTTGGTTGATCCATAAAAAAGCATTCAATAGGTTATATATATGAGATTGTGGATAGAGCAAAAGAAGCTTTGCATCTTTTACCAACAACAGTAAGTATGAACTCATTTTTTAAAATCAATGATAGAATATGGGACATGTAATTTCATCGATCTTTGCACGTGGCCACATGTTTTTTAAATCATGCATATTACTTTAGTAACCCCAAAATTACAAAAGACGTGGAAGTAGCTGATGGTTTATATGCAAGCATAAGAATGTTGGTGAAGAACGTCTTGATATTCCTCCAGTTGTGTGACAAATAACTGCTTGTGCGCCAGGTAATATAATTTTAAATATAAATTATAATTAGTAGTGAATACAATTTTAATATTTAAATAATAAGAATTATTAAATACCTTCAATTGATTGTTGGTTAGCATATGACTAAAGAACTCCACATTTTTAATGTTCTACGATCAAAGTACTTAGTTTTACATAAAGTTTACCTGGAAATTAACGTAATTAGATTATATTTGAATATGACAGTATAAAATAAAATTAAAAATATGAAACTTTAAAAGTTAAAATCTTACTAATTTTTATTACAACTTCATAATTAAAGAAGAAATAAGTTGGATCATAGCGCCACAAAGATTTGGTATAAAAGATAAGATTTAATCATTGTTGGACTCCTTAATATGAGCCAAAATAATCCCTCTGTCAAAAGTAACAAAACTTGAAGTTAAAGTTAGCGGATGACATTTTAAGGGATTTTAAGAATATACCTATTGAAATTTAATTAAAGCTACTTGTTATATGCATATATCGATAAGTCATTCTATAATTTTGACTTTGTTTATAATATTGATGAAAAGAATTAAACAATTGATTTTGTTTGTTTCTGAAAAGATATTTTGAATAAAATCAATGCAAATTTTAAAAATTATAAAATTCTAAATTTAAAAAAAATAAACTCAATGTAGTTCAACACAATGACTAACTTAGTGTAGAATCGATAAGCAAGCACCCTCAGCTCAAGCTCTCCCCCAATAAATGGTCTCAAGTTGGATGATTAATTTTGGATCAACAGGACCACTCAGTTTTGCCTCAACTTTATTGTCCATGAAGCACATAGCTAGATACTCCATCAGGCGCCCCTCTTTGATGAGGTTTTCAACATTGAGAGTATGACAATCATCAGTATCAATACCATGATCTTCATGGTCGTCTTTCCCTAACATCTTCCTAAAAACTAGCAATTTGAAGTTTTTCAAGTTTTGTACATGATCATGGATATAGATTAATTGAGATTAGGGAGAGATGGACATTCTTAGGATGTTATTGTAGCTGAGGAAGGGTGAGTGGGTTAGGCAGTAGAAGTAGCCTCCCTGTTTGGCTATATCAATTCGATCATGCCTCCTGACACAAAAGTGAGAGTAAACTAAGGGAGGTCCCTTCTATTCTCATGAAGATATATGAAGGCTAATTATTCAAGCGCATGATGCCTCAATTGATTTCTTCAACATCTAAGTACTTGCTCATTTTTTGTGGTAAGTCAGATATGTTCTCCGAAGAGTTTGTGGGCAAGTAAAATTTGAAGGGATCCTTATGGAGCCCCAAGATTAGTTCAACCTCAACTACCAATGAGTTAAAGTCAATTACCTAATGTGATACCTTGTTGGAGCGGTCAACATGCTTATAAAAGGATTCCCTCCCCCTTTGCTTGACAAAAGAGAAAGCATTAGAGGTCTTCAAAGACTTTGAGAGTTAGAGAACTAAGATTGAAAGAGGAAGGATAAATCATCAAAGGATGAAATGTTGAATACCGACAAGTTTGAGCACCACCTTATAGTCCTTGAAAGTGATAGAAAACATCATGCATTTCATCACATCGAAGATTTCATAGAGAGATGGCACCTTCAAATGCCTTGAGGTGCCCGACGAGATTAGCAGTATCATTAAAGGTGTCAAACACAAAAGGCGTTAAACTTTGGTAGAACTAACCTATGATACACCGACACTTCTCCTCAAAGAGGCGTGCAGTGTCCGACACGTATCCGACACGACACTCATCCGACACTCCTCCGACACGTGTCGGACACGCCGAAAACTTGTCTGATTAAAAAAATATTAAATAAAAATTGGACATGCGTGTCTGGCACACGTATCTTAAATATTTTATGATTTTTTTTAAAATATAATTTCTTGTATTTGGCGGGATGCCGGGATTTAAACTAAATTTTCTTATTTCCTATCCACAACACGAAATAAATGTCCGCACTTAATACCCATTCATCAAATATTTTCATTTTCATTTCTCTTTGGCAGTGAAGGTATTTTCATTTCCTCTCTCGATGACTGATAAACAACATCGACGCCTGACTTTCGACATCCTAATACTAATCATTTTAAGCACAAATTCTAGTTAAATGACTTATTATTTTCAAATTATTTTTAAAATTATACTTATTTAATTTTTATACACTATTTTTAAAATATAAAAACTATAATACCGTTTCCAACCCGTGTCCGTGTCCTATATTTTCAATAATTGATGTGTCCGTGTCGTGTCATGTCCGTGTCGTCGTGTTTGTGTCTGTGCATCATAGGAACTAACTCTACGAGCATTTCAAGGATGAGATGAGAGAAATAAGGCAACCACTACAATGAGTTATGCAAAGGGTAAGAAATCCTAGGAGGAGAGAAGAGGTGCTTCCCCTACTTGAGAATACAACTAGTTGAGCAGCAACTAAAGGCAATGTTAGATCAACAATAGCACCATCCTTGAGAGCTGGGAAAAAGAAAGGAAGATGAGTGCTAATCTCAATGAATTGAGCATCAAAATGCACATGAGCAGCCAAGACAGGAGTGGTGCCAAAGCAAAAGTCTACGCAGCTCAGCAAGCAGATTGGTTATTTTCATTTGTAATGGCAGCATGATATTCTCAGCCATTAACTTCTTTTCTTTCATGAAAAATGTTTCTCACAAACAATGCCAAAGAGCATGAACAATCAAATTATACAAGCTACTCAATGGAATAGCACAAGACAATTAAACTGCTCAAAAGTTCGAAAGGCAAAAGGAGAATGTTTAACCTATTACAAGGGAGTTAGTTATTTAGAACATATAGACTCTAAGAAGAAAAGAAAAAACAATGAAAAACACAAGATGTATAATGGTTATCATAATTGCTTAGATTCATTTTAAGGTTAGCTCTTCAAAATTCACTATACATCCTAAGTATAATGTTAAAGAGGCTTCTCTTAAGTGAGAACGACAATAATGGAGTAAAAGAAGCTTTCCAGTGATGTAAACATATAGCCTTGTGGATTTCTGTAGGGATAAGTTGGAAAACTAGAAGTTTTGGAAGTAGAGAAGATCATGGAGATAAGAGTAGTCCTAAGAGATACAATAAGTCAAAAAGAGAAGGAAGGTTGAAGAAGATCCATATACAACTATCAAATAAGCTTATGTAGCCAAGATTTGCCAATTCAGGAAGAGTATGAGATATGAAGTGTTACAAGTAGAGTGCCAAGTATTACAAGAAGAGTAACACATGTAGGTGAGTGGTCAAAAACATGATTTTATGTGCGAGAGATGCAATACATGCTGCGAAAGTGTATTTGGAGAAGATTGTCATATCATTGCCAAAAAAGGGAGATCTTTAAAGGTTTGT